AAGTCTCAGGTCCTGTACAGACACCTGGCTCAAGAGATGACCTATTTAAGTGATAGCCTTTCAGCTGCTTCAGGGAGGCATTGGCTCAAGAAATGGTAACGAAGTCCAGAAGTTAAGATGCAAGGTGCACACCAAGGATAATTAATTATTACAACTTAAAGGGAACCGTGATCATTTTTCATGATCATTCTTCATAATTTTAAATCAAAGACTGACTTATTTCCACCCCGGTTCCTCCCCCTCCCCCCCCAAAAAAAGGGGGATCATGACCAGGAGACTACACATGGCTATCAGTGAGTCAGTGTTATGGGCTGTGCTGGACACTTGGTTACAATTTTCATTACTCCTTGCAGAGTTAGACACTCATGGACCTGAAACCTTTCATCTGTATGAGCTTCATATTTAGCTCCAAGTTAAAATAATTAAAGCAATTTTCATCAAATGCTTTAGAGCCTTATATTTATTAGTCTGAAAGCTCTGTAAATTACCATCACAGCTTGTTTTCTTCCTGAATATACATTTTTACTTGTACAGTGCTGGGAATATAGTCTTCATCAAAGTCTGAACAATCAAGGTAATCCCACTGGTGGGTATTCAACTGTTTGATTCAACATGTCAGGAATTAAACAAAATTCCACTACTAAAAAAAAAAAAAAACAAATAAATAAACCCAAACAGTAGTATGCCATTTGTGTTACCACCACAGATCTCAGTTTGCATTCTCATATTGAGAAGGTCTGTTTGCAGACAGGAGAAATAGGTACACACATCCCATCAGGTAGACGACACAGCAGAGCTGCACAGAACTGATGAAGTTGTTCCAAAATCATCATCTATTTGAAAGTAAATCAGCCATAAGTCAAAAGTGATTAAAAGTAATTTTAATTAACAAGTTTAGCGTCTCATGTATATTAGTCTAAAAGCTATAAATATCACTATTACAGCCTGGCTTTGTGTATTTTGTCCCCCATTCTAAAGCTGTGTAATATTAACCATATAGATATCCCTCATCAAATTGCTCTGTGATGATAAAGTTCTTTTAAAAGTCTTTATTTTCCTCATAGGAAAATATTTTTTGTAATTAAAGATCCACTTGATTACTTATAAACTCTCATGACTTCTAAAATCAAAACATTGTTGACAAACTCTGGAACATGGCAAACTCTGACTCTGTCAAAACACTGCAATTATGGCAATGATAATATAATCTCTTAAATTTGTACATTTCTGCACTTGAAAACGTGACCTTGAGGGGTCTATTCAAGGCAGAAAATCTTCAATATGAACTATCACACTTCTTCTTCCTCTCTTCTTGATACCAGGGTTTCAGAATGCATTTTTAGGTCATCAATACATTTATCATCCCACTCCAAATGAACACTGTTAATTTCAATTAATGGTGCCTTTACAAGATATTCTAGAAAATGTATTCTGTTCTTCACTCTCCTCAAGGAACTGATAATGAAGAATAGTTTGATATTTTTATAAACACATCATTGAAATTGAGTATTGAGACATTTGTATCTTTTCCTTCTCTTTCAGCTGTCTCCTTGAAACAACTTAGTTTTACACCTTTCAGCTACAATACCATCTCTAACAATCTGACTTTATTTCCTACATGTGTATTATTGTTTGTTGGATCATATTCATAATGATATGAGATTCTGTAGGTAACATCCACGTAAGTTTAAAACACAAATTAAAAAATACATCTTCTTTGCAACTTAAATAATAACATAAAAAGCCACATGGATTTGAAGCACTACCTGGAGATTATGTATTTCACAATAAGTATCCCTTCTATCGTGTTTCGTTATCTCTGAAAAGGATTATGGCTATCACCCTTACAGCATTAGTATAAAACTGAAAGGATGAGATATTTTTGATGAATAAAGACGGGAGCTGGAGCTAAAGCGAGAAAGCGCCTCAGCGTGATGGAGCACAGCTGGATCCCAGCATCCCACAGCACTGCACATGCTCACTGCCTTCCCTGCTCCTGCTGAGCTCTCGTAGCAGGCACTGCTCTGAGCAATGCCACATACAGAAGTGATAAAGTCACAATTCGTCCCAAGGGTTAAGAAGAACATTATTGCTAAAGAAAAGGCATCCAAAGATGCAAGCACGGCACATGAAGGGCGGAGAAGAAACAAAATTACACTCCAAGGGAAGGAAGAAAAAAAGGCAAAGGATATATGGGACAGCAAGAGGCATGCAGACAGGGGTAATGGGGACTCACAAGAAAAAAATAACAGCATAAACGGTCTAGTTCGTTACAGTGAAGTCTGAACCAAAATTAGGCATGAGGAATAATGCAGGAAAAACTCACAGTTGTTCTCTATGAGTGTCAGACAAAACTATGAGGGCACAATCCATAGGCTTCCTTTTGGACCACTATTAAAAAACAAAGGGTACTACTCACACTAGGAAAACAAATGCATTAAACAAGGATGGGATAAAGACCAGTGGTGAAAATATTTTACATCAGAGACAAGAAGGTTTTCTCGTGGTAAGAGCTATGTCTCCCAGTAGTATATATTTTAAAATCAAATGTACTTATTACATTTTAAACCTTTTGACTGTAATTCCAACTAGTGCACACCGATGTTTAACTCACACTTAGATGAGCCAGCATTATTTGCCCCAGAGACACAAACCTCTGGAAATCCAAGGGAATGTGCAGGATTCACGGAACCGAACCCCTAAACGAGTGCAAAGCTCAGATACAACACACAAAAATACGCAGGAATGCACGGTGCAGCCAGGCATAAAATTAGAATTCCAAAACTGAAAAATAAAACCAGAGCAAACAGCTTGACAAGTAAACAATTTTGGAAGCTCTGTAGCAAAGCTCACCACGTTTGTGTGCCTGTTAAAAAGAATCTCCATTCTTAGATCTAGAATGTTCTCGTAGCTACATGGAGAGACAGCAAGAAATGTCGGGAGGGCTACACCACTTCAACAGACTGAAAAGAGGAGAAGGAATGGTGACGCAGGAACACGGTATGGAGAGGTGCTGGAAGGTGGGGAGCCCGGCACAGCCCTGGCAGCGGGATGTCACACCTCCTACACCATGTGGTTCCTTTTCCCAGCAGCACCAAAGCCAGCTTTGTCGCACCGCTGTCATCCCATGCAGGCAGCAAAATTCCTGCCAGCAGATCCTGCCCTATCCTATCCCAGCCCATTGAGATTTTGCCTTACCCTTCTGTCCCAACTACAATTTTCCTTCTGGTTGGTACCACAGTGTGATACCAGCTGTGATTCTTCTCATGTACCAGGGAAATGCGACGGCTCAGGCATCTGCTCTGCAGTTGTGAGGTTACATAAAGCTGTGCCCGCCTCAGACAGGTGTTGCTCAACACTACTGCTGATGCGATGTCAGCTCGGCGTTCCAGAACACCGGGTACTTCTAAAAACAAGTCAAAATTCAGCGGTGGGATTTTATGTACAGTGTGTCTGTGTGGGGCAGGAAGACAACAGCCTGACTAAACACTGCAGTTCTATGCCACAGAAGTTTGTGATTCGATTCCTTTTTGAGTCCAACAGGATAAGGATTCGGTACTTAATTAAAAGGCAGGAATAACACATAATGAAGATTAAGACTGTTTCCTTATTTTTCCCTCACAGCAACATTAGCCCAGACCACTTCGTGCTTTGTTTGAATGGAGAAGCAAAATGTAATTAAAGTTTTAATTAAAATTGATCGCGGTCCACAAAACTGAAATGGATAGTGCCGTGCTAACCTCATACTGGAAAACTTTCCAAGTGAATGGATGCTGTCAAATGAACTGTGTTCTTTAACCAAAAAAGAGCATTCTGACAGGAATAAGGGTAGTAGTGAAAACTAATGAATCTGAAGATGTGCCACAGAAACAAGCAGCGCATTCTGAGAGAGGCAATGCGTACACATCTCACAGAGACCGAGCTTCCTCACGTTCTCATTTTCCTCTGCATGCGAGGATTCTGTTCCTCATCAGACCCGGCTTGATAAATACATGCGTCTTTCTCCTCTTCGTAAGAGGCATGAGATCTCTGTGAGCTCAACTTTCTGATATATGAAGGACGAGAATGCCTATCTGCAGAAACACTCACTCTAAAATGTCACTAAAAATATTTTGCCGGCGGAATTGCTGGCAAAAGCAGCTGCATCTCTTAAGCACATCTGCTACGTTAACATCTTCAGTGCGGAATTTATTCATATATTTGCACTCGGTTAATTGGCTTGCGAGTAATCACGTTTCAATAGTGATGAAAAGGGCAGGTTTGCGAAATGCCCTTTCTTTGAGAGGTGGGAAGCCTGGTGTTGCGGGCAGCAGTGCTCCGCTACCTGCAGTTACCTGTACACCACCGGTACCTGGTGTATCCACCGGTACCTGGTATACCTACCGGTGCCCAGGTTCGAGCTCGTTCTCCCTGCCGTGGAAAGGCACCGAGCCTCGTCCCGGCTCCGCAAAGCCTCCACGGGACTCCTCTGGGGGGGGCTGCAGTTGCATAAGATCGCGCTGCCCTCCCATAGAAATATCCATCCCCACGGCGAGGGGGGGCAGAGCGCCGAGCTCAGGATGGGGGAAAGGAGGGGAGAGCCGGGGAGGAGGGGAGGGGAGGGGGACACTTCGGCCGAGGGTGGGGAGGTGGCGGTGGGTACATCCCGCACGGAGGGGGCTGCGATGGGCTGGGGACACCCCCTGCGCTAAGCGGCGGGGAGGGCTGGAGGAGCCCCGCACAGAGGGGACACGGCAGCCTTGCAGAGAGCGACGGGAGGGAAAGCAACGCTTGGGGGTAGGAGGGGGGCTTCCAGCCGTCGCCACCGGAGTGCCCGCATCACACCGCACCGCACGGCGCACCGGCCCGGGCACACGGCCCCGTCCCCGCCGCAGCGCAGCGCCGTGCCCTGCCCGCGCCCCGCGGCCGCTCCCGAGCGCTGCCCCAGGTCCCGCTCCCCCACCGCCCGCGCTCGCCCCGCAGAGCCCCGCGTCGGGCTGCGCGCCTCGCACCCCCCTCACCGCCCTCCGAAGCCGCTCACGCCGTGCCTCAGCCCGGGCTCCTTTGTTGTGGGCGCTGGAACTGGAAAGCCTCTCGCCCCGCGCCTCCTCCTTCCTCGCCCTCTTCCTCCTCCTCCTCCTCCTCCTCCTCACGCCTTCGGGTGGGAAATGCCCAGGACCGCGGAGCACCGCTGTCCCCACCCACCTCCGGCCCCAACACCCGAGCGTGCTCAGGAGCAATCGAAATGATAAGAAAAAAATCCTCTGACGGATGGTGCGAGCTCCGCGATCGCGAGGGTCGGGAGTCGGGAGCGCTCCCTCCTCCCCCCCGGCGCGGTGACCTTGCGGGCTGCTCCGCTCCCCGCACTCCTTCAGTGTGTTTTTGTTTTTGTTTTTTTTATTATTATTATCATTTGTTTCTTTTTCACTGGGAACTGAACGAACGCTTCGCTCCCTCGGAACGCACCGCTCGGGCAGCTCCGCGCCCGCCGCACCTCGCACCCTCGGAGCGCAGCACCGCCAACGCGACCCCCGCAGTGCCGCCGTCCCGCAGCCCCGCTCCCTCGCCGCCTCTCCGCGCTCCGTCCCGCGCCCCGCGTCCCGCATCCCGCCCGCACCGCTGCCCCGGCCCGCGGTCCCCGGACGCACTTACAGACGGCGCTGGGAGCGGTCGGCGGTGCGGAGGAGGGCGCTGGGGCCGCGGGGTCCCGCCGGGGTGCTGGGGCCGGAGGGACGGCGCCTCGCTGCGCGCCCGCCCGCACCGCTCGCGCCGCAGCTCAGTGCGCGCCCCCGCGCCGCCCGCCCGCCCCGCACTGCAGACCGCCGCCGCCCCGCGCCGGCCCCGCGCACGCGCCGCCCGCGAGCATGCGCGCGGCCGCCGCGGGCGGGAGGGAAAGGGAGAGCGCGCGGGAGGCGCGGCCCCGCGCCGTGGTGACGGGGCGAGAGGAAGGGAGCCGGCATCCTGAGGGGCCGCCTCTGGTACCCTCGCAGGGCAGCGCTGTTATCAGCGTTACGAGCACCTGCTGTCTCACAGACCGACGCGGGTGCACGAGGTCTGTCCCACTGACGGAGTAAAATGGCCCCTTAAGAGCCTCCAGCCGGCTCGTCCCCAGCCTTCGGGTTGTTGCCGATAGTCCCCGGTGCGCTGTGGCCAAATGCAGGCTTCTTTGGGAGGCTGGATGTCATCTGTCGCACGCGCCGTGTGTGTGCGCCTCCCGCCGTGCGCCGCACCGCCACCGGCAGCTGTTCTCTCGTGGCTGGAGCCCCTCTACCTGGCGCACACGTGTGAGGACGCAGCTCGTGCTACAGGCTGTGCTCTGAGCGATGGATCCCGTGCCCAGCATCGTGCACACGTGGAGGCACCATCTTGCATTACGGGCTGCGCTTTCAGCCGTGGCTCTTTTCCACAAGCCTCTTAAAATAGCGTTGAAGTGAATGTTAGATACTTAGACTGGTCTAATGTTGCTCAGCCCTTTGATATAAAACCCAACCGATCCTGCTCTGTGATATGCAGCCCCGCTGATCTTGCCCCTCAACATAAAACCCAGCTCATCTAGCCTTTCCCTTGCTATCACTACTGCTATATAAGTAGTAGTAATCCTTAATAACATTGTACAGCATATAACCTATTGCTAGGCCCTCTCTGTAGCAAAGCTATACATAAATATTTACTTTTACGCACTGTGAGTTCTGCTACTGACTGTTTACAGTACGTAAATTAAGTATATTTAGCGTGTCCAAAGAGTAATGCTGGAGGAAGCAGATGTATACAGCAAGGAAATGAAATGAAGGCAAAATAATGACATATATTAAGAAAAGCAGCAAATCATGTGCAATTTTATTATGGTACTCATTATTTCAGGAAAAAAAAATCATGAATATGTATGACAAATGATAGATGATAACAAAATTTGGTTTAATGGTGAAATGCTCAAATAATTCAATTACAACACAAAGTGATGTGTTAGGTTTTGTACAAATGCACAGGAAGACAGTATTTTTACTTTGCTAATAAAGATAACTGAATTTGTAAGCTATTCTTCTCTGATAAGGAAAAATTACTAACTTTGCACTCAGATTTACTTGTTGCTCAGTGAGACAATAACAGGCTCCCCAGGGCAGTGCTTTGGGCACTGAGCTTGCCAGAGTTCAAGAAGTGTCTGGATAATGTTGTCAGACATAGGGTCCAATTTTTGAGTGGTCCTGTGTGGATCCAGGAGTTGGACTCAATGGGAATTGGACCTGTTGAGTCCCTTCCAACTTGGGATTTTCTATGACTCCAACTTTAAGTTTGTATATATTTTTTTAATTTCCCAAAGCATTTCTCTTCCTCAGTTCCTCTTTCAATTTTCTGCATGTGCAAAAATGCAGCCTGAAAATGCTAAAAATTGAGATTGCATCCAAGCGTAGAGTTAGGAAGTGATGCACCTCACCGAGTATTTGAAATTCCTGTTTTATTTGATCTTGATTAATTTAAATTGTTTTGTTCCATCTCCATATTTACTACCTCATTGCTTGCTCTGCCTGCCAGATCATTAATAATCATCTTTAGCATAATGAAAGATAGAGTGCTGTGGCATCTGCTTGCTATGTTTTAACCACTTTGTTCCCACGTATTTTTAGTCTCTTATTTCATTCTTTGTACGGTTGCCTCTTGCCATCACAGTACCATCTCACTTGTGTGACCTGTTCTGGTTGTGTCCACACTGCAGTGACTGCATGGCTTCAGCCCATCTTCTGATAAATCTTCTGCTCTCTGAAGCTCAGAGAGCTCTCTGCTGGCTGCAGGACTGGGTGTTTCCTTCATATCTCAGGTGATTTTGCTGCTGTTTCATTCTTTCTCAGCTCTGAGGTGGCAATATCTCAGCTAGCTGAAAGCTAGCTTGGGGTTGTCTGCTGCATGACTGTCACCTATACATGACATGTCTGTCAGTATCGTTGAGGGGCATGTATTTCAAGAAGGTGCTGAGCATTTGCTTCCCCCCAAGGAGGGAAGCATAGGTTATATTTTTAAACATTAGAGATAAAGCACCCATAAATAAAACTTTTCTCATGTGGCTTTTTCTTTTTTCACGGCATTCAGTGGAAAAAATTCCACCTCCTATGAAAAAGTGTAGTTCAAGCAGATGATAGTATGGAGTGAGTTTTCATGTATGATTTTCGTTATCTACATTTTGATATTTCTTCATAAATTTGGGTTACTTTTATTTTCAAGTGCATTTGAAATCATGGTACATGGTTTTTTTTTTTTTGAGAAACATGTAAGCTATTAGTAATTTCAGAAGACTTTGTGTTTTTATGTACTGCATCACAGTAACAATACAGCACACGAGCCTATTCAGAAATTAAATACAAATAAAAACTCCTTGTATTATTGCTCAGTCTAAAATATCCATGAAAATGCTTCATTTTGACGTAAGTCAACAATGTAATAAATGTTGCCTAATAAGCCATACATGGGGTTATCATTCAAAAGGAAATAATGGCACTGTTGGCATTCATGCTATTTATGATACACTGTGCTGTCTTGTACCTTATGCAGTTACTGAAGGCTTTTATTAGCTGGGTGTGAAATTTTACTAGTTCAGACCGTTGGCATTTTCAACCACTTCACATTCATTTTTAATCTATGTAAATGATAATATTGTATGTTAGTCTGCAGAGAATTAGATCATCTTGCTTGTTTATCATATAGATAATTGTAGGATTTTTCATTTTCTTGCTATTCAGTTCTTTGGATTTAGCAAATGAAACTAATTGTTGCCATTTAGCAACTTTAAATTTGTTTTGAAGCTAAAGAGCAGATTGCTCATAATGGAGCTACAGCAATTTCAACAAAGTCAGGATCTGACCCAAAATTTTCTACTTAATGTGTATCAGAGTTTATTTTAGCATAACACCGAATAGTATAAATGTAATATTTCTTAGCATACAAATGAATAGCATGCATGTCTAGGTGTATTCTCCTTTTACATCCTCTGATGGCTTACAAGGGTTTCCTTTAAGCTTTCAGCACTGAATCTGAACAGTCTACGTGTGCCTTTGAAAGAAGCCAAGTGATGCTCTGTACTTCTGCTCTTAAGGGAGATAGGCATCTCCAGAGGGAAATTCAAAATTTAATGATATTGAGGATCTTCTCCTATTTTCTCTCCCTTCCTTGCTTTAGAGAATTCACTATTAAAAGGCACAGTAGTCTTTGAGAGAAGTCACTGTCTCACCAGGTGGCTTACTAGTAATAAGATTATGGGTTTTTTTCTTTTTGCATGCCCTCCTATTTTAGAGAAACCAATCTAATTGCAGAATACCATTTCAGAGTTTGCATTTTCTCTTCCCCTTTCATGCTGAATGCTTCCTAATTCTTGCTTACATAGTTGCTGATTGTTATATGGTTCTGTGATTCTTTGATTAGTGACATCTATGTATTGTATGTATCAACTGCAGAAGAACTGCAATTAGAAATAATTTGAGTGTATCTACATCTATAACTGTAGATTTCATATCCTGCCAGGCCTTTTGAAGGAGACATTTCCTTTCTCCTTTCCGTGCCCCCTTCATGCCGTTTCTGCACGCTGGAATCTACTTGTCTGTTACATAGGGAGCTGGAAGCAGCAATGCGGCTGCAGGGATTGGCAGAAGAGAGCTGCTTTATGATTAAATGAAGCTGCTGCAACACACTGCAGTTAGAAAAGGGTGAGATCCTTGATACTCAAATGAAAACAGTGCTAGTGACCAAGATGATCAGTTTCAAAATGACTGTAGACTGATTGTCTTGTTTCTGGAATGTGCTACCTATATTTTATGTGTACGTATGTTATCTTTCACATTCATATCTTAGCCTTTTTTTTTAAATAACATCCCTAACAAAATAGAATAAAATGTGCTTCACTAATAGGTGTATTTTTTTCTTCTGTATGAAGTAAAATGATCCTATGTACGTAGATAACTTTTTTATGTGCCAAAGCAACTAATTTATAATTCATTCTTTTAATTAATCAGATTATTTGTTAGTCCTCATTTTCTCAGTCTCATGGAGTGAAATGTAAAGAGATATCATTTATGTAACATCATCTCTGCTGTTATGTAATGTGCTTACAACTGCGGAGTACATGCAATGCCTAACTTTAGATACCTGAATTTGATAGCTAAGTTAATTTCCTATTTCCTTGCATTGCCTCTGGTATCAGTGGAAACAAAAATAAGCACTGAAAGAGTAAATCAGACCAGAAATCTGGCTACTGGGAGTGAAGAAAAAATATACTTAAATTGAGGCATGTAAATAAAGCGCCTAAAGCTAAATGGCATGAGCCCAGGCTTTACACCAGTAAGCAGTTTCCTACAGAAGCTCTGGTTGTTCTTCTTAAGCGAGCATTTGCTCAAGCGGAAATAAAAGGTTGACATTTTGGACCTGAGCAGTGTAAGCTTCAAGTAAATAATGATTGTTTAGAAGGATAGGAATGACAAAACTTAGAAGCATTTCATTTTCTACAAATGTCCTAAACATAGCATCATGTGTCCTTTGCCATTTAGCTCAGGGCAGAACTCCTGCATATACAAAACAATTCCTGTG